CAGGATTGCAAGTACCATGCAGCCCTGTGTCTCTGCATAGTAATATATTCAGCCTGCCTGGAAATAACCTAACTACACCTATCTGGTAGCTGTTTATAGGTTTACTACATAGTAGATTCTCTAGGTAGACAGCTCTTAACTTGCAGAAAGATATCTTCAGTCATAGTTTTACCAGACTCATGTTTCTTGGATGGATCACTAAACCTCACAAAATTTGTATAGTTCAAACACGCTTCAGGCTTTGTGTAGAATCGACATCTGAGATTTTGCTGATCCATAGATAGGGAAGACTTGTCTAGCTATTTTCCAGGGTGTTCTGTTGAGTAAGAAAAATCAGGAGTCTAGCACTTAGATTCTGGCATATAGTCATCCCACATTTTCTTTTTAAACAGTACACCTCAGAAGAACGTGATCAGATTTTACAAATCTAGAAAGTTCAAAGGTGAATGTGATGATTAGAGGTACAGCACCTGCTCCCATACCTGAAGGCTTAAGATTCCAAATAGAAAACTTAATACAGCTATATATTGTTAGAAAGTGTTTGTTTTACTACTGCATCAAGTGAAGAATGTTCTGCTTTTTTTTTTCTTTTTTAGTACACTTTGTGTACATTCATCTGGAGTATTTACATTTTATGGCAGAGCTAGACAAGTCAGATATATGCTTCATATACATACTCAAAGCACAGGCTTGTAAATTACTTCTTGGAGACTGTGATGCATCTGCTTCATTTTTCTGATCTTAGCTGTTTTCCAGGGTTTTGAGGGGAGCATTCAGGAGCCTGATCAATTCATTGCACTGTAGTGCCTGGATTTCAAAATGACTGAATTAGGTTGCTGTTCAGAAGTGATTTTCTTTAAACCATTAGCATGGTTCTTTCAGAAGTTGTTCCTTGAATGCAAATGGTATTTCCTGCTGCTTGAATTAAAGGGATTCCTTCTGATTTTTATTAATGAATTTCTACACTGCTCCTTGACACATGGTGTAGTGCTTTAGTGAATGTAATTATCGAAGAAAAGGTGTTTCCAACAGGAAGTACTGTGCTTATTCACTTCTGATAACCTAGGATCGTAATTAACTGAATAGATCAAAAATTGCTTAGAACTGCAGTCTTCTTGTGCTGTACTTGACTAATCTTTGCAGAGTTAATTCATGTTAATAACTGCCATTTAAAATGTTGGAATTCATGGCATGAGAAGGAAAGGGCATACATCCACCACAGTATTATTGCCCTTAGCAACTGCCGGCCTGTCTTCTTTATTCCTGCTTCCATTGTTTTTCCTCACTCACCTAAAATGAGCTGCACACATCTTGAAAGGAAAGTTTTCCTACAGGTGCAATTTCTTCTATCTGGAGTTGCTAAAAGTCAGATTGCCAATATATGAACAGACTGATCAGATAAGTTCTTTTTTGGCAGGATAAATGTTTCTATGAACAAAAGTCCAGCTTTTCAAATTTTGACCATGCACCCCATGCTACAGTGGTAATTATGACATCAGCATTTTAAGTTGAAATCTACATAGCAGCATTCTCTAGTATTGCTGTGCATAATGGATAACAGGTTATTTTTGGTGTGAATCTCTGGATATTTTAAGGAATTTGGATAACTAGAGTGTTTTAATTTGTTTTTACCTGAAGCCTGCCTTTCATATTGTCATATTCAGTGAGAATTTATTTTCTAAAACGAAAATAAGTGATTTAAACTAGATAAGCCACTTCTTGATTCTATGATTTTATGATTAGGCATCAAGCAGGCAAGACATTTTTCCTTTTTTTTTTTTTTAATGGTTAAGATGCTTTGTATAGTCTATATGGTGAAAAATAAAATCCTATTAAAATCTTAATATTTTTTTAAAAAGTTGTATTTGTTTTTACACAAGCAATTGGTATTTTGTGGCTTTTAAATTATGTAGGAGTAAGATGACTACAAAAAAATTAACAAGTCCTTGAGTGCTTGAATTGATTTCTTCTCCTGCTTTTTTTATGGTATTTAAAGTAACATACTACACTATGAAGACAGTCATGCCATTTTACTTTACTAGCTTTAGAGCAAAAATCACTTACTTAAACTTACTGGAAATAAGGAGAAGACTTCACTTTATTTGCCACCCACTTTCCCTAGCAGGGTATCTTAGCCTATGAAGAAAGAAATTAAGCATGTCTGCAGTAAAAAGGTGTTAATTTCATTGACCTTGCATTTTACCTTTCATGCTTGTCATTGATGTCAGAAAACAACTACAGTACTGCTAGCAGAAACCCTCTAGTACCTCATCCAACAGATCAAAAGACCTGATGCAGTATCAGTGTGAAATACAGTATGCCCTCTCTCAAAACCATTCTTCTCAAAAAGTGTATATTAAGGTGACACATGTCACAGTAGACTAAAGCTACTACTTGTGACATTCTTTCTATTTATTTTACTTTCAGTATGTCAGAATTTGCAGTGATTTAAAAGAACACAGTATAATAGTATTATAAAATTTGCTTGAAATCATTGTCACCTTGTTTCAAAAAGAGTCAGAAAATTAGAAATACTAGTTCGTTGTCTTGGCCTTAAAGTGATCACTCGTAA